AAATGGCATGGGCTTCAGGGTTGGAACTGTGACCCGTCGTGGGAGGGAAGGGTGGGCAATGGCAAGGGCTGGGGGGTTGTGGGAGGGAAGGGTGGGCAAATGGCATGGGCTTGGGGGTTGGAACTGTGACCCGTCGTAGTGGGAGGGAAGGGTGGGCAAATGGCATGGGCTTGGGGGTTGTGGGAGGGAAGGGTGGGCAAATGGCATGGGCTTGGGGGTTGGAACTGTGACCCGTCGTTGTGGGAGGGAAGGGCGGGCAAATGGCATGGACTTGGGGGTTGGAATTGTGACCCGTCGTGGGAGGGAAGGGTGGGTAGAAGCCACACTGGTCTTGCTGTTTGCCTGTGCACCCCCCTAACCCACCCCCTGGCTATGGCAGAAGCTGCTCTGGCCTTGCTCCCCCTCCCCTCTTTCGTTTGAGTTGCGAGTCAAGCTGTCTTCATGAAGCCCCCTTGAGGTGCCCCTCCCTCCCTCCCTCGTTCCCCCAACACGCTCTTGTCTGACTGCCCCCCCCCCCAGTGGCCCTAGTGGCTGCTACTTCTGCTGCCAGTCCCCCTCCTTCCGATTCTGGTGACACAGCTGCAAGACCCCAAAACATACAGAGCAGCCACAGCACTTTAAAAAATCTTGCATCACAGCTGCCCCCCCCAGCCCCTGGGGTTGCTCATCGCACACTGCCCCCACAGCCCCATGGCTAGGGGCTATTTGTCCCATACAACGAAAGACCCAGGACAGACGGTATCTGGGTGAATTGGCCGGACTGAAGGGCGAGGGGCAGAGGGCCAAGGGCCCACTGGCCGTGGAGAATGGCTGCAGGAGGGCAGCGGAGGACGAAAGCTGCCTGTAAATGGGCTGAGGTCAGGGGCCGGGGGCAAAGGAGGTGCGGCCAAGGGTCCACACCTAAACATCCCATTCCCTTCCTGATGGGGCCTTTCAGTCCCTGAGTTACCACTCTGAAACTCACACTGAATGAGTAGGCAGCCAGTCAGCTCCCAGGCTCCTTCAGACTCTGAACACACACTCTGTGAGACTCACCCTGGGAGGGAGACCCTTTCAGTCTCTGGGTGAGCAGCCAGGGCGAATCACACTGGAGGAGTCAACAACGCTCAAGCCTCCTCCAGTGCCCTAGCTGAGTCTCAAGCTGGAAGGGAATCCTTTTGAATTGCTTCCCTGAGAAATAATGTCAGCTGCATCCAGATCTCTTAGAACCAAAAGTAAACCTGGTGACACAGTTTAACATGAGATATTGCCATCTCAATAAATTAATAACTAGCTTTTTGCTAGGGTGAGACATTATGTCCTTGAACTGGAAGATAAATCTGTGTGACCCTTTTAAATTCTAGATGTGGCCATTGAAACCCTGAGTAGATTTCTTGCCTGGCTTAATTTAGGCACGATGGTCGTTCTTAGAACCAGAAAGCATCTCAATGGCCCTTTTTAATGCTGGGTGTGCCGGTGATTGATAATAGATTTTACAGTTTTCTGCCTGGCGTAAAGTTAGCCATGGCAATGGTTCTTAGAACCAGGAAGAAAACCTCATTGGCCCTTTTAAATGATCAATGTATGGCCAGTGCTTAGTAATAAATTTTATAGTTTTCTGCCTGGCGTAAAGTTAGCCATGGCGATGGTTCTTAGAACCAGGAAGAAAACCTCAACGGCCCTTTTAAATGACCAGTGTGGCCAGTGGCTGTTAATGGGATATAGATTTCATAGTTTTCTGCCTGGCATAAATTTAGCCCTGGCAATGGTTCTTAGAACCAAAATTAAAGCCTCATTGGCCCTCTTAAGTGACCAATGTGGCCAGTGCTTGGTAATGGATTTTATAGTTTTCTGCCTGGCGTAAATTTAATCCTGGCAGTGGTTCTTAGAACCAGAAAGAAAATCTCAGTGGCCCTTTTTAATGTCTGGTGTGGCCAGTGATTGATAAAAGATTTCTATTTGGAATAACTTTATCCACGGCTGTTATTTAAAATGTGTAAGTTATGTTTTGACTGATAAATGTTAAACATGACACACAGTATGGGGGTCACCTCAAGAATTTTGATTTCTTTTGTCACACACATTTGTCTTTTTGTTCCTGAAATTTCTGTTTGACATGTATTTTTTGTAATACAACTGAGTTTTACTCCTGATTTACTTGTTAAGTAGTTGTGATGCTTATGGTAGACAAGTTTTATCTTTTGCCTGTTTTTATGTATTCTTTCTTATCACCATCTCTTCACCAAGAGATACCTGTTGTGATATTTATGTATTTGAACACTGAAGTTGTTTTCTTTCTTCCAAGAAAAATCTTTTGATGACAACTATGGTTCCTTTTACACACCTCACCTTTTTTCAAAAATGTCGTTTTAAATTAGTGAACTATTTAACCCATGGTGTTTTACCATTGCTTTTGTAATTTTTGTGTGACTTTTTATCCTTAAAATATTGGATTATGCTTTTATGTATTTTATCTGTAAGACTATTATGTTTTGAATTGTTGTACAAACTGTTGCAACTGGGTAATGCTTGGAAGATATGATGCAGAACAATAAAGTATTTTTCGTGTCTTCCTTCACTATATTTGGGATCCTGCAGTCAGGAGCTTGGACCTGTTGGACACCTTGTGCTCCTGCCCTTTGCGAAGTCACCGAGGATCATCTTTTGTAAGGATTTGGGGGTTTGATATATTCAGAAATGTCCTGTTCTACCAAAATAAACTTCCAATGAAGTTTTTTGTGCTTTACATAACATTTTAGATCTCTCTCTCTCTCTCTCTCTCTCTCTCTCTCTCTCTCTCTCACACACACACACACACACACACACACACCTATTATCTATCTCACCTATTAATCATCTATATCAGACATATCAAACACAAGGCCCCGGGGGCCGGATGTGGCCTGCAAAGCCATCCTGGAAACAGGGACCGGCCCCTGCTGCCTTGGCCCTGGCCCAGGCCAGCCAGGAGCCAATGTACAATTTTGTGGTGGCCATCTTGGCACTTGCTCCGGTGGACCATGCCTTGGCACTTGCCCCGGTCCCACCCTCTTCTGCCAGAGACCCTCAGATCTGTCCCATTCCTGCCCAGGCCCCCATAGGCACCCTTGACACGAATGATGTAGAACTGGCCACGCCCACCCAGTAGGCCACACCCACTCCATCCATGCCCACCCAGTAGGCTGCACCCGCTCTGGCCACCCCCCCCATCCCCCCAGAGCAACTGCAATGCTGATGCGGCCCTCAGTGAAATTGAGTTTGACACCCCTGGTCTAGGGTTTCCTGCCTGGGCAGGGGGTTGGACTAGAAGACCTCCAAGGTCCCATCCAACTACTCTACTCCCATTCCCATTCTACATAAAGCAGTATTTCTCACCCGTAGCAACTTAAGGATGAGGAAGCCAGTTTCACTTAACTGGGTTACTAACTTATCAACTACAGTGATTCTTAACGACGGTTGCAAAAAGAAGTGGTAAAATGGGGCTAAACTCACAAGAGTTGTCTCACTTAGCCACCAAAAAATTGGGCTCAACTGCGGTCCTAAAGCGAGGCCTGCTTGTCCATGCCGGAAATATGCAATTCTGTGTTAGGGTGCTATGATGCAATGCAAAGAACAGCCGACATCAACTTGTTTTCCGTTTATTTTTAAGATAGCAAAAGGAGAAAGAACTACAGTGAGCCCGTCACCCAGGACAGATTGGTGAGAATTTGCCATTTGTGGCCAAATTTCAGTGCAATTAATCATTAGCTAAATTATCTAGTACAATTTATCAGCGGGCTTCACAGTGTAGGAGAAAAGAGTGTGCCTCCACAGTAAAGGTTACATTATTTACTTCAGTTTGCAAAATCTTGATTTCTGCTTCCTTGTTCAGTAGGGTATTGCTCTTAATATGCAAATAAAGCAGCAATATCTGCAGAGACCCATTCCCACAGAAGCACACTGAAAACATTGCCCTAGGGCAGGGGTAGGCAACTATGGCTAGCTTAGGAATTCTGGGAGTTGAAGTCCACGAGTCATAAAAGCCAAGGTTGCCTACCCCTGCTCTAGGGCAGGGCAAATCATAACCCCCCCCCCAAAATTAAATTGACTAATCCATCAGGTTAAACGAGATCAAGCTGTTTTGTTATCAAATTGGCCTACAAGATACCCTGAATTGACACAATCTGTACAACATGACACTCACCAGTACTGACCTAAGAAGGCACGCTCTGGTTTTGACTTGTCTGTAACCTGAAATTCTTAAAAAGTATTTTTTGGGGGTGCACTTGGGGTGAGATGAGAAGACAGATCTCATGTAACAACATATAATGGTTTTAGTTCATAGTTGGTCAGTTCAAACCTGTTTAGTTCATTTGGACTGTTAGAAATAATTTGATTTGAATTGAGTAAAATCTCTTCAGTTCCCCCCCCTCCAGTAGATTGAATTATATTTTCTACACCTCCCACTAGCGAGTATTAAAAAGTGCAGCAAAGTAAAAGATGCCCAGAGCAATATTTTTGGGGTGCCCACATCTGGGGAAGAGGGAATGATGCCCCCAAAACTTCCATTGGCTGTGAAGAAAAATCCCCAAACTTTTAAAAAAGGTTCTCAGGATACTTCTCTGGAGATTTTCAGAGCACCTGAAAACTTTGGTGAAGAAAGAAGCTTCAGGTAGCCAGGTTGGCATACAAAAGTATGTGAAACTCCTGTCCCCACTTTTAATTCAGCAATTATTGATACATAGGGTGGTTTTCTGGGTCTCTGTCTCTTTAGAGATGTTAAAAATGAAAATAAATGGTGCACCCTTGACTTAAGTGGAGTGCAGAACCAGGAATATGATTTAAAAATACGTAAGTGAAAGGAGGATCGCCCCCTTGAACCATCAACCTTTTAGGGTGTTTTCATTCTTATTTGTGTTCAACAGGAAGAAATAAACATTAAAGAACTGAATAAGGTAAGCTTGTAAAGGTAAATAAAAATCCACTAAAAAGAGGAAAACAAATAATAAACACTTTTATGGGCATTCCAATGAAGCGACAGGTTGAGTTACCAAAATGGATGAAGTTTATTTTAACAAAACAGTACACATTTACTCCCAAGAAATGGTGAAATATTACAACAATGCTACATGCGAGAAGCGCCCCCCTCCTCCAAACATATAACCAAGGAATAAAGTTTTGAGAGGGTGCAGAAAAGAAACTTTATGAAAACATTGAACACTATTCACACCAGAGCGCCAGGCCGGGTCCAGCATAACCTGTTGCCAAGCTGAGTCATTGAATGGGAGCCAAATCAGAGTTTGAAGCAGAAAAATCAGAGAAAAGGCATTTTTAATAATAATTTTTCTAGAAAAGAGACAAAGCTTAATCAAGACTAATTGGGATTATGCTTTGGCTCGGCTGTTCTCTGCTTGGCAATGGCTCATCTCGCTACATTTGATATCCACAGCAGGATTCCAAAGGAAAGTCACTCACGCATTACGCTTTGTAAAAAGGACTGAATTCTCCAGATATACTCTCAACAGCTGCCTGTCAGCTGTCTGAAGCAGCACACTTACGTTTCAAAAACACGCACGCTAAACACTGCACTCAAAACTCAGAAGTTGGGGGAAGAAACGCTGGGAAAAGCTCCCCCCCCCCCCAAAAACCCCTCCTGTCAGTTCCTGGAGGTGTCTGGGCCTCTTAAAGGCTCAGAATAAAGGCCTCTTCCACAAAAGGAGAGAAAAGTAGCCCACCTCACACGCCGCTGGGGATAAAGCGTAATTACTTCAGCAACGATTTGCAAGGCATGTTTGGAAAAAGGCTTAGGATTTCTTTGAAGGGTCTAACTTTAGAAAGGATTCAAAATTACAACTGGAGCCTGGAGTCTCTTTGCTCCCCCCCAAAAACCCCCAAAACACAAGTCACCCGGCCTCTACAGTCAATAAATAGCCTGACAAGCATGATGTAGAAACAGAAGGTTCTTCTTTTTTAATGGTTCTAGTCCTCAGCCTGGCCCTCAATCCTGTCCTGGCCAAGGAAGATGAGGACAGCAACCTCCCCCTGTAGGTCAAGCGCCGCCTCGTGCGTCCACGGCTGCCTCACTGCCCACGGAACCACTGCTCCTGGTCGACCCACAGGGCTGCCTCGCTATCACTGCCTTCAAGGTCTCCTTCCTCTCCGCTGCCCTCCATGTCGTCCACATCCTCCTCCTGGGTCGCGTCAGTGGGGCTTTCTTCTTTCTCCATCTTCTGCATGCCTTCCAGCGACTTCTGATCATTGGGATCCAAACTGGGGGGGGAGGGGAGACAGAAAGATCACGGCCTTGAGGACCATTCGCCTGGCCTGCCCTCTTCTCAAGGCACCCTTGACAGATTGTTTGGGGGGAGGGGTGGGTGTGATGTGCTGGGAGGTTCAAATGCAGAAATAAACCTTTGAGGGTTTCAATTTCTACCCTATTAAAAATGGAAGTGTTTTAAGTTCAAGTTGAAAAAAAAACAACAGCTGCGATTATTATTAATCCAAGTGAATCAGTCTCTCTGAAAGGAGAATCTGGACTCCCCCCCCTAAAAGGTGGGAAAAGGGGGGGCTGAACTGACCCCCCCAAAGGAATTTGACAAGTGTGAGTTTTTTCAAATGGTAACGTAAGTCAAAGACCATTGTACTTTAACTGGGAACAAGGAAGGCACCAGACACCGTTTTTAAGAGGCTGAGGCCTTTCTGCAGGGGTGGCCGTGAGAAAGAGAGACAGAACAGCCTAAGGGAGAGCAGAGGAGGAGGAGAACGAGGCAGAAACCGACGGGGTCTGGAAAGGCTACCTTAAGGCGATGCTGTACTGGTCCATGGCTTCCTGATATTCATTGACTGCCACTAGGAAATCCCCCAACATCCGATGCAGGATGCAGTCGCTCTGGTTGGCCAAGGCGTTGCGGAGCAGAGCGATCCCGTCATCGTACTTCTGTTCTCGGCCTGTGAAAGCAGCCATTTGTAAGAGCCAGTTTGGGGGGAGGGGTTAAAGTACCAGACTGGGAAGCAAGGAGACGGTGAGTTCAAGTCCTGATTTTGCCATGAAAGCCGGTTGGGTGACTTTGGGCCAATCACCAGGAGATGGTGAGTTCTAGTTCTATCTTAGGCGTGAGAATTGGCTGGGTGACTTTGGGCCAGGAGACGAGTTCTAGTTCTGGCTTAGCCATGAAAGCTGGCTAGGTGACTTTGGGCCAGTCCCTCTTTCCCAGACCAATCTACCTCACAGGATTATTGTTATGGGGAAGAGAGGAGGAGGAAGGAGTAGTGTATGTGCTCAAGTTATTTATAAATGTAATAAAGACGGGATATAAATATGTCAACCAACCAACAAGAAAACCTCGATGCAAATTCCTGCTTCTGCAAATCTGCTCCCTTCCCCTTCCAAAAATGGTCCGGCTCCCTTAAACGGGCTGGATTTCACCCGTTCAGTGCCCGAGAGGGGGAAGCTGACTGACTCACTGAGCAGCTCGGCCTTCTTGACCACGGCTTTGATGTAATCCGGGCGTTGCATCAGGGCCTTGTCCAGCAAGGTCTTGGCCTTCTCCTGGGCCACGGGGTCCTCCAGACAAACGGTGGCCAGGAGCGTCAGCGTCTGAGCGTTGGCTCCCAGGGTCTTGTAGACGTTGTTGGCCATCACGGTGGCCTCGCGGAGGCCGTTGGAGGCCAGGTAGCATTCGATGAGGCCTGAAGGGCAAAAGAGGCCGATGGAGAAGCAGCAAAGGAGGGTTCAGCACAAGGAGTAGAAAGCTCCAAGCTTCAGAGGGGTCTCAAAGATGTTTCCAAAAGGCAACTGGACTTCCTTGGGAGTTTTTTTCCTTGAAAATGTTCTGCTCCCCATCCAAGAAGCTTCTTCAGTTCTTGAAGAAGTTTCTGGGATGAGAAGCGAAACGTTTCCAAGGGGAAAAAAACCCAAGGAAGTCCCATTGCCTTGTTCGGACAACCATGACCTGGATGATTGAGAACCCCCAGAAACCTCCAGAGATGCCCCAGAAGGAAACCGAACCGAACCAAACTGTCCCAGCCGCTGGGGATATTCAGGCTGTCAAAAGATTCGCCCCGCGCTGTCGCTCACCTTCGTAGCAGTCCAGCCGGCACGGGGCCAGCCGGATGGCTTCGCGGAAGTGGATGATGGCCTCTTGCACTCTGCCCATGTTCCGCAGGGCGGCCCCTTTCAACAGCAGGGCCTGCACGCTGTTGCTGTTCAGCTGGATGGCTTTGGCCCCCAGGTACAAGGCACGAGAGTAGCGCTTGCTGTAGAAGCTGTGGCAGCTGCGGAAAGGAGGAACAGGCGGTCCTCAAGACGGAGCTCGGATGGATTCTGAACACTTTGAGGACAGGAGGGGAATGGTGGCTGTTACCCTGAGACCACCCAGGGCTCTGCGTGCTGGTCAGAGATGTTGAACAGCCGGCATCCGAGGTTTTCCACGTCCTCCAGGCGACCCTCCCGAGCCAGTAAGTAACCATAGACATCCATTCCTAAGAAAGAGAAAGGAAAGAAAAATAAACTTCGGAAGAACAAGAAAACTACTAAAAAACCCTATTTAATCTGGAGAGATCCCAGGATGCAAATCCATCCATCTCTTACAACAAAGGTGCTCGAATATGGCTAAGATTATTTCTCTTTTTTTTCTTCCAATCATATATCTGGAAATGCTGGCAAAGGGTTTGGAGAGCCCCTTCACTGGTACGCCAATTTGCAAAACTATAAAACTGGAAATCTCTTTTATTGTAATTTAGTTTTTAAATGGAAAACATTAAAATTGAATCCTATTCATTATCTCTGAATATTCCTGCCCAACACAAAATGTAAAAAGCCTTTGATGTTTTGTACAGTAGCAGCGCATAGATTTCCCCTTGCTGCTTATGTTATCAGTGTTCAACTGTACATTTTTTTTGATCAATTAACAACTGAGATTTAACCATTTGCCTAATTTTAGTGAACCCGCGAGCATCTTCGCGGTCGCTATAAATTTATTGCTTTTGTTTCATTATAGCAGCAATCTTTCCTGGGAATCAAGACCCAGGGATTGAAGAGTGGCTGATTTCTAAGGCTTAAAATTGCAAATTGAATGAAGGATTCAAATAGTTGTCCCTATTTTCTGGAGACTTACCTTTTATTAAATAGGGATCCAGCATTTGGGCCTGTTCAAATTTTAGAATGGCGTTCTTGTTATCCCCGGCTCTAAAGTACAGGTCTGCTAAACTGCCCAATATATCCACATTGTCTCTCAGGAGTGACTTTTTCTCCAGTGAGCTTTTGGGAAAAAACAGAAATGGAAAAATCAGAATTTGCTGTAACACACTATTCTGGAGTATGCGTCTACAACAAATGCAGGGAAATTCTGTAATCTGGAAAAAGGTAAAATGCACTCTAGATTTTACAGTTTGCATTTTGACTCCCAGAACTTCTCCGAGCCAATCAGTTTAAACCACCGGCAACGGTGCCGCTCCATGGGAATGCTCACCAGATTGTGTTGATTGCTCTGGTATTATCGCCTGTGTGCACAAACGCGTACGCTTTGATCCACACCGAAAGCCAATCCAGATTCGAGATGCTCTGAATCACGTTCATGGTCAAGGAAGCCACTTCTGCACCCTTCACCGAGAGCGACAACAAACCTAGATGAGGACAGACTCTTATAATTTCCAGGCTGACAAAAGCAGGCTGAACGCAACCAGACCAGGTTTGAGAGTTTAATGGGAGCTGAAGTCCAGCCAGACCTTGACGTCAAACTAGCCAACTTTACTCCTTGCCAACAGCGACAAGCAACAGGGAGAGCTACCTAGAATGGCATCGAGAGCCAGTGGGCACTGCCTCAAAACCTCCTTGTAACTGGTCACCGAGGAACGTTCTTGGCCCGTCTTCTTGTACAGGCTGGCCAGCATCATGTTGATCTGCAACAGACAGGCGAGAGCAACTGCAGCAAAGCTCTCGACCAGAAGCCCTTGAGTGTGAGCATCTCAGGCATCAGGGAAAAAAATCCTTCCCGGGTTCAATCCATGGAGAGGAACTTACCTTGGGGGTCCTCTGTCTGGAAGGGATGCCATCCAGGACGGCAATGGCGTCTTTGTCTTGCTTTAACATGGTGTAGCATTCGGCCATTTTGTATTTCACTTCGATTTCAGAAGGCAGACACTAGAAAAAAGGGGTGTATTTAATGGTTTTGTGGCTCCCGCAGCATCAAGATTTGCCCTCTGTTTAAAGGGTCTCCTGCTTGAGTAGGGGGCTGAATTAGAAGACCTAAAAGGTCCCTTCCAGCTCTTATTGTAAGTGGAGGAAGGGGGTCAACCTCCTAAGTAATCGTGATTAGAAGCAGGCTGATGGGCCATGCACCCACCTGGCTCTGGGGAGTGGAGGCTGTGCTGCCGGGGGAGGGTCGCACTTTGGAGGTCTTGCTCAAGGCCTTCTTCTGCTGCAGGGCCATGGTGTACTTGCTGACCGCGTTGCGGTACTCCTTATCGTGGAACAGGGAGTCCGCATGGTGAACCAGCAGCTGGTACTTCTGCGAGGGGGAGAACAGCTCCCTGCAAGAGAGACCAGAAGGACCTGGAGTCAGAGTCAGCCTTCCCCTGCACACCCCCCTGCAAGGTAGGCCAAACTCAGAGAAAATACAGCAGGACCAGCCTCTGGGAGGCAAACCCTACCGCAAACATTGGCAAGGTCAGGTTTCCCCCACCCAGCTACATCATCCTTCAGCTACATCATCCCCAGCCCCAACACCCACCTTCTGGCCAGATTTGGGATCCTAGATATGCCTAGATTCCCTATCCCATCCTCCTGAGCCAGCCTCCCATAGAGTCTAGAGCAGTGCTTCTCAACCTTGGCAGTTTGAAGATGAAGGAACTACAACTCTCAGAATCCGCCAGCCAGGAATTCTGGGAGTTGTAGTTCCTCCCCATCTTCAAGCTGCCAAGGCTGAGGAGCGCTAAGGAGCCCATCATCGCCAGCCCTAGTGAAGGGGAGACCGTGGGCTGCGGTCTCCTGCCGATCGCTGCATGGCCTCCTTTCCCCGCTTGCGCTGCTTCGCTTCCGGGGCCCCGCCTCACTCACGGGTTGTTGCCGCTCATGGTGAGCAGGAGGCCGCTGAGCAGCCGCACGTTGGAATGGAGCCCGGCGGCCGCCATCTCCCGTACATGGTCCACCACGCTCATGGCGGCGGAGAAGCGAAGCGGCGGCGGCGACAAGACCCTAAAATGGCGCCTCTTCGCCGGGTCCTCGCGCCGAGGGCGGCCGTGACGCCAGCCGCCACGCCCCCTCGTTGGGGTTGTCTAACTCACGCCTGTCAGAAAAAAAACCTCCAAAACCAGCCGCTTTTTCCAGAGGAAAAAGCGCCACCGCTCCGCGGATTTACTCTCCTCTTCTAGAACGTATATATACCAGTGTACAGTCTTTATCGTTTCTATAATTTGGGAAAGGTTTACAACAGGCACTGAGCTAGACAGCTTGCAAACGGAAGACCGGGACATTCTGAGCATGCGCGGAACAGAACCCACTTCCTTCGCCAGCCGGGCGCCCCCAGCACTATAGCGAAAAGCCCTTCAGCCTCTATATTTGTAGATAGGCAGCGTTGGGTCGTAGCAGATCCTTGGCAAGATATTTTTATTTGAAAATAAATAAGGATGAGAGAGAGCTGGAACATTTTGCTCCTTATAGCAACGGGCTATTTATTGCTACAGCAACAGAGCTTTTATTTATTTATGCATTTAATAGATTTATGGACCCCCAACTCACACAGAGTGAATCTTTTATGCATGTTTTCTTGGAAAGAATGGCTTTGTGCTATGCAATTGTGGATCTGCTCCTTTCTTGCCCTGTACTGCTTGCACAGGACTTAAACTTCGGAGGAGATGTACCCTGCAAATCTACTAAAAGTTACCAACAGTCTTCCCTACCCAATGCCTTCTGGGCGTCTCTCGTAATTCCCAGCCATTAGGAATGATAGCTAAGCTCTTCCGAATTCAAGCTGGACAGCCTCAGAGCAAATACAGATAAAAAAAACAGCATTAGAAAGAACTTTTGTTTTTATTATTATTATCAAGCTTGACAAACATTGCACATGATTTTTTTAGCTCCATCCTTCCTCCCATCAGTGGCGTTGCATCCAGAGACACCTTTTCTCTTTCAGTACAAATATTAGAAGCAATATTATCTGACTCTCCCTGGGAACAGAGCGCTTATAACCAAAGATCCAGCCGCTGCCCTCACTGTCCTGGTCCTGACAGGCTTTTGTTCATGAATTGCCTTTTCACAAAACAGGTCCACCACTAGGAGAGAAAAAGGAAAAAATAGGAACAGAAAGGCAGTTGTCACCAGAAACCACAACAGTCACTTAAACCCATTTTCAAGACCCGAGACTCACTTTTTTTTCAGTGGCTAAACTCCAAATGAGCAATCTTACGATTGACACAGTCTTGAAATAAACCCAATATTTCAATTATTTTTCTGTTCTTTTCTTTAAGCATAAACAGGAAGAGCCTCTCACCTTGCTGGGTTTGTCACTCTGGGGATCAAAGACCTTTTCGCAAAGCCTCAAGCCGGTTTCTTGCCTCAGTTGCTGCAAATATCCTCGCATAACCTCTGAAAGGAGAGCACCCTCATCCGGTTACAGCATTAAATAGTTAAAGCTTAAGATTCTCCCCTTTCTCCCAAACCACCAGCTCTTCTACAAACTATTTTTTTTTTTTTTTTTGCAAAAGATTTGGCTTTTCCTCTCTTATGTGAGCCCATTTTGAAGCAAAATAAGACCCTTTCTAATGGACGGATTTAAACCAGCCAGCCATATTTTTGATAGACTTTTGAATGGAAGTTTAAATTGTGGCTCAAATGCGGGAAAACTAAGCTGATATAGGTACTTGGTAAATTTATGAATCATCCAGTTGACTAAAATAAACTCAGTGTTCCTTTGCCAATAGGAATGGAAAAATGTCCCACTAAACCTTAATTTTCAGTGACATGGAAAAAGCAGTTCCAGGAAACCATGGCTGGGTTGCCTATTGTTCCAATGCTACACACAGAAGGGAGCTGCACAAAACTCAGGTGTTCTTATATCTAACTAGCCATGTTTATGAACGAGGTTGGGTACAATAGCTTGCAATTTCCTTTTTTTCCCCAGCCTGCTTACCTTCTTCCTGCTTGCTGCTGGGTCTGCCGTAAAGAGCGTTCAGTGGGAATCCCGGTTCTCCAGGCATCGGGAAATTGGTGATGCCCAAAGTATACATTTCTTTTTCCCCCTGGCCTTTGGAATTGCACTGAAAATAATAAAAAAAATGAAAATAAAAACAAAAACCAGTTTCAGTCCGTTTCTCTCTGAAAAAAGCTTTTATTTTTTTTAGTGGCAGGGTCTGTTTTAGAAAAGGAGAAAATGTCACGGTCATCTTACAGTTCGTATTACATTTTATTTATTTGGATTTCTGAGTTTATTTATTTTTTTTTTACTTAAAAAAAAGACACTGCTTTTTATTTTAAAGCACTGCAAAACCCCCAGCCCCCCCTTACCTTCTGTAACTTTTTCAAGCACTCCGAAATATAGAGAGTGATGTAGATCAAGGTTCTGTCAGCCTCATTCTGCAAGAAAGAAAGAATTTAAGATGGAATATCAAGCCGGCTTTTTTCTCTCTCAAAATGGAGCTCTAGCTATCGAATTTTATTTTTCTCTTCAATCTGTCACTGAGAGACTTGAGGGGTCATTTTTAAGCCCACTTCCCCTTACCTTGATTTCATAATTTTTAAAGAAGACATTGGCTTTGAAGTAGTAGATGGCTTCATCAATTATATCCGTATCTTTCGCTGGTAAGAAAGAGGAAACACAATCTCTTTTGAGTCATCACAAAAGAAAGGAAATTTCCTTAAAAAACACCCACAAACGTCTCCCAAGGAAGCTGTTGTAGCATAATATGTTCATTTATTCATTACTAACACTTCTGTGCCACACAAAAACCCCAGAGGATTAACAACAGCACAATGACAATAGTGTTATAATAATGGCACTAATCTACAGGAGTGAGTGCAAAAATCCAAAGTATATCTCCAAATATTCTCTCAAAGAACCAAGGATTTTTCAATCAATAGGATAGTCAGCTGGGGAATTCTGGGAGTTGAAGGCCACCGCATTAAAGTTCCTAAACTGAGTAATCCAATGTTGGGAGGCAAGGACAAGGCAGAGCAGATCCGCCCCAAAGTGGACTTACTTTCACGAGGAGCTGGTCCTTTGAACTGACTCCTGATCGGCAACAGAGCCATGTTCCCCACGAGTTTGGTGTCGGGGTCCATCAAAGTGGAATGATAGGCCTGTGTGGGAAAAGAGGGGTGGGGGGTTGAAGGAGGACCACGCCTGGGGAAAAACCGTGGGTGGCTTTCTCCTTAGAAATGTTCAGAAGATGCCATCCCCAGATCTGCTTGGAGCATGAAAGCAACTGGAAACGTCAAGGAGGGTCTGCAACCTACGGCCCACCAGTTCCAACCTGGCCTGAGTGAATAATCACCAGCATTTTGCTCCCTGAGGGGGAGAAACAGGGAACCCTTCATTCCCCACAATCAGACTGACTGGTTGGAAGATGGATGTTTCCTGGCAGGAACCCCAACCCAGCGCCCCCAATATCCTTGCCTCCCTCTACAAATGGGAGCTACGAGGTGGCTTTCTCTGCCCTGGCAGCCCCTGGGCCCACCCCCACCCCCGTTTCTTGAGAATGAGATGGAGAAAGGGGGCAACCCACCCACCCACTCACCCCCAACGCCCAGGGTGGGCAGGGAACAGGGCTGAAAGGAGTGGGTGGGAGAGCAGGCAAGACCCATCCCCACATGCACAATGACACCCACGTTCAGCAATGCACTTCCTGCTTCCCCACCTCAGGCCTGGCGAGCAGGCAAGCCCCAGCCATGCACAACCACACACTAAAAGCCACACTCAGCTTTGTGTTATCTTTTGGGCATCCTTCCTGCTTCCTTCACTCCCCCCAGCTCCACCCAGCCAGCCTGCAACGCCTCCGCCTTTGCTCCTCGCTTGCCTGGCCCGCCTTGCAAGCGGCAGCCCCTCCAGGCGACCCTCGGGCCGGTTGCCCCTTCCCCTCACCGGCATCTCGGCGGCGGCGGCGGCTCTTCCGGGCAGGGACGCGGCTTCGGGCGAGGCGATGTCCGGGCAGCAGCCGCTGTGCGGAAGCGGCTTCGCTTCCTTCCTCTTCCAGCTGCGCGTGGCCGGCAGAGGGCGCCGGAAGACACAGCGCAGCCGGGCCAGGCTCGGCGGACTTCAACTCCCAGCATGCCTTGCCGGGCGCATGCGCATTGTAGGAAGTGAAGTCTAGCACATCCGGCAATGCTAAAGCACTGGAGAGCAGACTAAGCATAGAAACCTTTGTAAAAATTTAATTAGGCAAATTTTTTGGACTTTGGGAGATTCCCCATTGAAATACATCCTCCCTGCCTTAGATAGATGACCATATTAATTATTATTATTATTTATGAAACTTGTACGTCACCCAATTTTCAATGACTGGGTCTGCACAGTCAGCCAGGTGTTCAGACTGGATTTGGCATTTTTGCTCACTGATGGAGTCCTTCCCAAGGGCTTGGGCGAGGCAGGTATTATTGTTTAATAATATTAAAGGTATCAGCGCGGGATTATTTTAATTTATTAAAATTGTATGCCACCTGAATTCTCAACGAGTTTGGGTAGCTCAACCGAAGAAATGACAATAAAAACATTTTTTTAAAAAGCAGCAAGGGCCACGAACGGAGGGGATGTCCTTTTCCTTTGCTAGGATGAAAATGGTTTTTGGGTCCCCTTTTCTGACCTCCAGTGGTCTCTAAATAGGGAATGTGGGAGGTCAAAGTTACACTTATTGAATTTCCGCCTGCATATAACAGCCATTGGCATAGTTTTAAGACATAATAGTAATAATAATAATAATAAAGTTGGAAGGGACCTTGGAGGTCATCAAGTCCAACCCCCTGCTCAGGGAGATAACCCTATACCATTCCCAAAGATTGCACCACACACAATTGCAATAAAATAATAAGCCTGTCTGAGTTTTGGCCCTCCTTTTGTTTTTCTAAGTAAAACAAACCACAGTACTTTAAATAATGTCAAAGCAAACCTGAAGTTTCTTTTCTGTTCACTTGGAAAACCACCAAGAGGAAGAAAAACGAAACACAATAATTTATTTCTTATAATGCATACTTAACACCTTCCAAAAATAGAACTCTGTGGCGCGATCCACTTTTACACGTTAAACCCCTTGTGGGCAAAGAGCCCCGTTCTTCGATTGCTTCCAACAGTTTGTGAATTTTGAAATGCAGCGTGGAGAAACGCAAGACCTTTTTCTGTGCGTTTGAGTGAAAACGAAACCTTTCATTCATCCACTCGATCCTGGAAGAATTCATCAAAAGCGGAAGATTTCTCTTCCTCTGTTTCCTGTACAAAACACAACATTTCATTTTAGAAATGATTTAAGCTTCCTCCTTGCCTGCTTTGAGAAGCTGTGTCCCTCCCGGCTTTCAGGCAGAGAGTTCTAATCCCAACACCGTTTCTTTTTAGCTGGCAGTGTGTGTATGGGGGATCCAGACTGAATTTCTGGGTATTAAAATAACCCACATCTGTCTTATTAGTTCAGACTGAACTAAGATGGACTGGAATTGGCAGTGGATCCTTAGGGAAAATGACGCCGCTGCCTTTTGCCCAAAGGGCTTGGCACCTTCACCTTTGGCTCCTTAAATTCCAGGTCTTCCCCGTATTGAATGGAGAAATCAACATGCTGCAGGACGATGCTGACGCTCTCCTCGTCGGAGCGATCGAGCGGCAGGAAGCGAACCATGCTGTAATCATCGATCTAAACGGAACACACCACAGACAGTCCGTTTGGAGAGAAGAAACCGGATCGGCTATTATGAACCTTATCCTTCTTCTCTTATTCAGGATTTAGGAACTAACTCCCCCATTTTCCGCAAATAAGGGCGCTGTTACTTTTGGTCAGAGAGCCACGTGTGAAACAAACACCCACCACCTACCAAGCCACAGATAGCTTTAGTTAATTTCTTAAACCGCCTGCTTTTGAGCAGGTCTGTCGAATCATCCAGGGAAGAGTACATGTCCGGATCCAGATATCTGGAAGAAATTAACTAGATTCATTAAACCGACAAAAGCATCAATGTTAGTTTCATTTTTTTCCTCTTTGCCTCCTCAGGGCTTTTTTAAAAAAATTGCACATTTTTTTTTACACCTGGCAAGAAGTGAAATCTAAAAGATCAAATCAGGACTGATTCAACCTCCCCAGAGTCAAAATCCCCCAAATTCCCAGGCAAAGCGGAGCCCTTCCTCGCTCACACTTACTTTTCGATCTCATTTTTTGCTTTCTTGCTCAGCAAATCCATCTTGGACATGACATTAACCTGGGGAATCTCTAAGGAAACCATGGCACTGAGAGCTGCCATCGCACCGGAAATAAACTATCATCAGGAGACAGGAGAGAAAAAGAAAATCACACAAGATCTGTGATTACTGCATTCCTCAAAATGTTATCTAATAACACCCACAAAAGGGTTACTGCAAACGGAAACAACTGATAAAACAAAATGAATAATAATATCTCGCTGGCCATCCACAGCAGGGGATTTCAATTTTCAACACCTCTGAATCAGGAAGATACCTTAAAAGATTCCACCATGAATTGAGAATCGACAAGGAAAACACCACAGACGTGAAATTCCCACTGTTGCAGCTTCTCTACAAATTGTTTCATCACAGGCAAGTGAGTGTAGAGTTCAATCTGACCTAAAAACAAATAAGTTTATTCTTCTCAAGTAGCCGTCTCCCAATTCCACTGAAGAAAACCTCAAGGTCACTGCAGAGAAGATATTTAAAACTAGAAAGAATCAGACATCAACAATCCCAAACTGGGTATTTGTCTGTGCTGGAGGAATCAGAAAGAGATAAACTCTTTGACTCTCATAATATGCGATATATCTTCCCTCTCTGCTTTATTATCATGCTAAAGTTTACGTATTTCTTCCACACGTCCAAGGCCACAAAGTGCCAGAAAGATTACAGCCACTGAATTTCCACAGCTTCAAAATTTTATTCGTTCACTTATTAAATGATTGTGCTGTCCATCTCCCCTATAAGGCATGAATTAAAGGCCATTTTTAATCTAAAGTCAAACAAAACAAGTGCCAAAGATCCTCCTCCTTCACCCAAGAGTCCATGACCTGTATCCTACACCTTTCCTCAGCTTACCTGGGCAATCGAACAGGATGTAATCGTCTTCCACGTGACCAAGGCATTCTTCCAGCCAATCAAAATTGTTTGCAAAATATTCCATGCAAAAAACTAAGCCACCGTTGGGGCCGAACCGGAGGGAATCATCTTCCATGACATCGTCCACTTCAATCAACTCTCGGATATCTGAAAGATAAAGGGGTGGGGGAGGAGGAGGGACCCAGCCTATATTTGCCAGCCCAAGACCAAGAGAGGTCACCATGCCCGGCTCATCTCAGGGACAGAGGCTTGGATTCAAAAGAATCCAAAGGGATAAATTCTCAACTCGCTGCTTCTTTCTCGACCCAATGAGTCCATTGGACGTCCCAGGTAACCCCCAGTCTTAAAAGAGAGACCCCTTTACCTGCCATGACGTCGTAGTTGAAGTGTTCTGCTGCTGGATCGAGGTTAACCACCTGCACAGAACGGTTGAGGGCTTCGCAGTGCTGAACCATGATGGAGCAATAGGTGCTCTGGAAGAGGAGGGACATCAAGACACAAGGGAAAAAAGGATGGATCTGGAGACAGTGGAACTACCAGCCACTAGATGGGTGGGTGGACTTCAACATGCTAGCTGGGCAATTCTGGGAATTAAAGTCCACCCACCCATCTAGTGGCTGATAGTTCCACTGTCTCCAGATCCACCTTTAGCCATCTTCAAGTGGCCAAGCTTGAAAAACATTGCCTCCCCCCAACGCAAGAGACCTTGTAGCCCCCAAGCCAAAGCCGCGTGCCCCCCCGACTCACCTTCCCGCTCCCCGCAGGCCCCATCACCATCTGGGCATAGCGAGGCATGGCCGCCCCCGGGCCAAGAAGGCCGCCCCCGAAATAAGAGAGGAGGGGGAAAAAAAGACGACAACGAATGTGAAGTCGCTTGATCCAAAGAACGACCCGTAGCCGTCTCCTCGGCCCTTCCTTCCCGTCGCTCTATGGTTTGCGGCTCACTTCCGTGAGCACAGCGACCCCCAGGGAGGAAGAGGAGAAAAAGCCGAGGAAGAGCAGCTGAGGTTTTCCCTTTAGTCCGCCACGACCTGCGGCGCTCTCGCGAGATTTCCCACCTGTCTGCCTGCTTGCTGTTGTTGCTGCTGCTGCTGGACGTCCGGCCAAGCCACCCGCCTGGAGGGGCCGTGCGGGTAAGGGGGCGCTCGGAGGAGACCCGGGGTTCCCCGCCTTTCCCGAGCCCGGGATGGGCATCCCATCGCTCTTGGCTCGGGCATCTCGTGACGCCCCCCAACCACCCAGGAGGTCCTCTTTCTGGGGGGGGGCTTTTTGCAGTTTTTCACCATTGAGCCTTTGCAGGGGTTCCCTCGGGGTCTGGCTGGGCCGCCCTTTGGCGGAGGGGGGTTGATGGGCACCTTTCCCATTTCTCGCCCCCCCATTTGGCATCCAGGCTCCTCCTTGGCAGTGTTGCAGACCCCACCTTCTAGATTGGGGTGCAACTGCTTTGGGCTTCCTTTGGGGGGGGGGTCTCCCGTCCAAGAATGAAGCAAGCCCGATTGTACTTCACAGTCAGCCTCCCCTCTGCCTTCCTCTGACACCAGCATTTGCTTGTGAATATTGTTTTTCTGATTTACACAGACTCTCCCCCCTCTCCCCCCAAAAAGTCACGCACCTGCGAGTATCCCTCACCTTGCCCAGCGTCCTGGTGTCCCCTGAAGTTGGGATTTCAGAAGAATGCAGGATCTCTGCCAGCAGCCAGGAAGAGGCTGGCTATTGTGGTCGCTGAAGTTCCACTCTGTGGGGGTCCACAGGTTGGAGAAGGTGGCCCCAATTCTCTCCGACTCTTTCCTTGGAGGAAAGTCACATGCAGAAGTAGACCAGTAGTAGAGTAACCTGGCAAACAATGATTTCAGAACACACAGATTGGCAACGAGTTTCACAAGCCCTCATTCATAGGCTGCTTTTAAGTTTTCTGCCTTTATGATCCCTGGAGGTCAATCGCCTGTCTGTTTCTAGGTTTGGCGTTTGAACTGAAGGTCTCTGGTTTCTGGACTGGGGAGACGGCAATGGAGACGGCGGAGCCTGTGGTCCTTGACAGCCAAGGAGACCAAAGGTGTAATGCCAGACCAGACACAGATTATCCCCTTCGGGTGCTGTACTGTGGAGGTA